GGGGGGGGGGGGGGTTCAACGTTTTTGCCACCACCTTTAAATGAAAAAAACTCCCCAGGTGGTCGAAAATACCCCCTCGATATGAGGAGGAGCAAAAAAAAAAGAGCCGCCCATGGCGTACTGCCCCCCTGCACCCCTCCTCTTTCCTCAACCCCTGCTATTGTCCATCAAGACGTTCGGTTTTCCATGCGGGGCATTCTTTTTTTTTTTTTTTTTTTTAAATCTTTTCATGGGCGACATCAGCGCACTGGTACCCAGCTGGGCGCCAATCAATATTTTGTTGTCTGAAGCATGAAGACTGGTGTGAGCAATACGTGCTGTCCCATTGACCGTTGAACACGGCTGCCGACCGGCGATCCCATTTGGAAAACGTTGTGAAAACAGCAGCGTGGATTAAGATTTGTAAAAAAATAAATTGTGGTTTAAAATAGAGCTTCAACATTTTAAAATCAATTTTGAGTATGAAAGAAAAAGCTGATACAAGGGCGTATTCAAAACATTTCGAAGTTCAAGTAAATTTAATTGTTTTATCATTAGGCACACAGCTTTAATCAGAGATGCACACGATACTTGTTTAGTGTTTAACACTCACATTGTTTTTTTTCTGTGTTCGGTTAAATGGGATACTTGTATAACTATATATAATTTGAATGCTATCTCAGATGTTGATTTGCTATTTAAAGGGATTTTTTTTTTTTTTAAATGACAAGATGCAAAATCTGTTTAGTTATTCTACACCACCTTCCCCTTTAACTCTCCTACTGTGTCTGGAGGACTTATTTAATGAAGGAATAACTCTCCTACTGTGTCTGGAGGACTTATTTAATGAAGGACTAACTCTCCTACTGTGTCTGGAGGACTTATTTAATGAAGGACTAGCTCTCTCATTGTGTCTGAAGGACTAATTTAATGATGGACTTTAACTCTTCACCCCCCCCCCCCCTTAACTCGGATTTTCTGTGTCTGGAGGACTTATTTAATGAAAGACTACCTCTCCTACTGTGTCTGAAAGACTAATTTAATGATGGACTTTAACTCTCCCCCCCCCCCTCTGTGTCTGGAGGACTTACTTAATGACGGACTTTAACTCTCCTACTGTGTCTGGAGGACTTATTTAATGATGGACTTTAACTCTCCTACTGTATCTGAAGCACTTATTTAATTATTGACTTTACTCTCCTACTGTGTCTGGAGGACTTATTTAATTAGTAACTTTAACTCTCCTACTGTGTCTGGACGACTAATTAAATGATGGTACAAGAAGAGGACGGTTGCCGGAATGCTACCAAGGTCGTGTCAAATAACGGTCATTTAGATCATTGATTTGTTTCACCTTGTCTATATGTTTATGCCCCTTTAGTCATTACATGTAGGAGAACAATTTTGCGGCATTGTCAACGACAAGTCAATCAGAAGACGTTGATACTGTTCGTGAAAATCAGTTGGGTGCCTTGACTTGACTGAATGCAGCCAGTGGCGAGCCACCTACTTGTTCAACCCCGGACACAAGTCTTCCCTAAACGGTGGCCCGTGGACCGTCATCGGTCCACGAGCTTTACGTTGCCTGCCCACACAACATGAATATATACTTAATAATTTCGGCACCGGTCACTGGTGCGATTTCAAAACTTGTCCCCCGGATCCTGGGCCGACAAACTCAGAATTTATGTCAACGCTTCCGTAACGCTCACGCGGGCAAGATTTATGAAATGTTATAATGGAACCCTTAAAGTGCCACACGGGCCCCCCCCCCCACTTCGCATTTCCCAGGTGCGCCACTGATAAAGACAGCGTTACGCTTCACTTAGCTCCAGCTCTAATGACAATCCGCGACTTGTCAAGAACACTGAGGCGTCGGTTGCCTTGGTGATGATCATTTCACTCGCAAACTCACGTCGACAGCGGCTATGGACCTAAAAATGTGTTTAGAGATTAATGTGGTGATCTGACTTATGACTTATTAGTAAGGAGTATCTCTCGTATGAGGGGAAGATCTGCGAGGGGAAGATGACTCTCCCGCGATAAATCGTGGTGGTTAGAGTCCCTGGATCTCGAAGTCCTAGCTGTCAGGTAGTTTGGTGTAGGATGTAGATCAATCCCCTAGTTCCAGCTCAAGGTAAGTCGGTCCAGTAATAGAAACCAGGCTAAAGGCAAAATGATACAAAAATGGATAAGTATCCAGGCAATTATCCATAAGCCGATAAGTCCCGTTCCAACAGCAACGAATTCAGATCGATGTATGGAAGGTGACGTAGCTTGTACATATATACATCCAATTTGTGGATGGAATATAAGTCTTGTCAGTGTTCGCGGGAGCATATGTTGCATCGCGACAATGTTTGACCACGCAAACATTTTAATTAACGAAATATGGGACATGGTATCAATAACAATATTTAAATTTACAGGTCCATAATATACATATTGTCTCCTCGTTAAAAGAGACATGGGCGAGTTGGAACAACAACCTACCATCCTGTAACAGACTATGTTTTCACAAGAAAAAAGAGAGGTAGCATGAGTGAACAGTGAATTGTGTTGACCATATTTTTCCATTTTGTATTTTTGAGAAGAAAATGTGAGCTCCACGTTTTTGGAGAGTAAATTATGTTTTTTGGTAAAGCGGTCGTTTCCACGCTTTGCTGGTAATAAAAGGGGCAGTTGATTGAGAGCTCAGGGTAGAGAAGAGTTGAGTTATAATATAGTTGAGCTGAGTTGTAGCTGTGTGAGGACGTGTCTTTCTGAGTGGTGGAATATTATATATGTATATGTGAAATGATTACATTCATGCAAGGATTATTATTAATATTATCAGTGTAAAGTGTGATTCAATAAAGTACTGTAAGTTTAATCAGAATTCAGTATCCTTCTTTGCGTGCCTGGATAATAAGTGGAAGAATGAAGAAGTCTTAGCCGGCATCCTGAATTATGAACATAAAACAAGTGACCATGCTACTGACATAACCCACTAAGAAATAAGATCTCACGCCATGAGTTACAATGATGTCAGAGCTTATGTGTAACACATCCCCATGATGGGGTGGCGGCATGTCGAAGCCCGCGGCAAAAGCAATACTAGAATTCATAATATTAATATAAGGTAATATAGGCATTATTAGAATAGGATCAACCACGATCGAATATTTGCTACATAGCGAATGAACAATACAATTGCAATACCAAAATCATGGTTGCGTACTTACTAGTACTCTAGGTAGCTGTTGCAGTTAAATATCACGCCAGTGAAGTTCTAAGTCTAGTCACTTCAAGCGTCCACAATCAAGTGATCAGATCTTAAAAGTCATGTACTTACTAATATCCTAGGATGCAGTTATGTATCATGCTGACGAAGTTCTGAGTGCAGATCCTTCCAGCATTGACCGTCAGGTGATCAGATCATAAAAGGCAGAAGCTTGCTTGTTCAGGCTATTTATTCGAGTTCGGTGACGATTAGCTGATGGTTCAATTGGGTGATTCAAATGAGGTGTGATTTTTCCATCCAATGAAAATCACTTTCATTGTTGGAGTTTGACCTTCTACCCTCAAGGTTAATCGGACT